TTTTTTTTTTTTTTTTTTGCTCTGCATATATTTTTAGCTTTTATGCTTCTGTAAATGTTTGAGAGTTTATAGCAGTCCCAGTTATTATATAAGCTTTTTTTCAACCAGTCTAAACTACATTTTTCTGTATCTATAGCTTTATTGAAAAGTTTATGCTATATTTAAGGCAAATATCTTTGCATCATTTTGGAGCTGGAATTTGGAAACTTTTAGAATCCCCTTGCCCCTTTGTGATCAATACATAGATAATTGAATATGGTACTATTTCTGAGTTTTGAGAATATTCAAAAAAATGCATTGGAAATAAAATAGGAACACATATGTCAGCATTAAAATTTTAACATTCCCAGGTTGGTTTTATTTGCTTTAAGTAATTACAAAATCATTTGGTATATTAACTTTTTTTTTTTTTTAAGTAAAAGAACATGTTAACTGCTTGACCTTAACTAGTTTTCTTTAGAAATATTTTCTTATTTTCCTGACTTAAAATGTTACTTCTACTGTATGTCACTTTCCAACATTACCTCATGATTCTTGGAATGAGTGATAGATTTTTTTGCTTTGTTTTTCTTGGGATGGGTCTTTTTTTGGTTTTGTTTTGTTTTTGTTTTTTTCCTTCTTCAACATTCTTTCTATTTCTTCAGTGTCTTATGAGAACCAGGTAGCTTTATTTTCCCTAAAGATTGCTATATTGGATCTTACATTAAATATTCTGCATACTTATATGAAAATACTCATTGAAATATTAAACACAGTTCTAGAAAGTGACAACTGGATATTATTTCATGTGAGGCACTTTGTAGGGTACTTTATGTTATTGATTTGGAGCTTTCAATATTATATTCAATTTTATTGTGGGAAAGAATTGGTAGTTTTTTTATCAGTGAGCATCCTTGTGAATGAAGGAAATCATCTTTATTTCTGCCTTTTGCACATCATGCATTAAGTCATAACATTGTGAATCAGATATTTTTCATATCATGCATAGAACTTTATAGATTAATAATCTGTTTTCATGCTGTTTCTTACATAAAACATTTCTTGTTCTTTGTTTTTGCTTTACATGGAATGCATGGGCTTTAAGACCATAATTTCTTTGGTAAGGTTTCATCTGCCTTGGGGTTTTGTCTTTGGCCTTATTCCTGCTTATTCTCTATTAATGAGACCTAATTTTTAGGCAGAAGCCTTCACTAGCAGCTGTGATTTAGAAACAGTTTCTGGTGCATATTAGTGCCACTGTTTTCTCTTTTCCCTTAAATAATGCTACTTGTTAAGAATACCTGGCAGAAAAGTCTTGATCCTTTTGAAATATTATCTATGAGAAACAAAATGTAGAATAATAGATTAAAAGAACTGGTCAACAAAAGCTGGGAGTGGTGGCTTAAATGTGCTATACCAGCTAATTGGCAAGATGAGGTAGGCAAATCGCTTGAGCCCAGGAGTTTGAGTCATTCTGAGCAACACAGCAAGATCTAACAAAGCAAGCAGCAACAAAAAGATTAACCAAGAAAATTTTTAGCTTTAGTCTGTGATGACTTGATAATTTTATTATTCATTCAATAGGTATATCAATTAAGTACACAAAATAAGATTAAATGTCAGATAAAAGAAATCTTATTACTGTAGCTTATATAATTTTTGATACATTTATTTTTAAAGTTTATTATTTTTCTTTTGGTAGGAATGGGTCGTGAAGTTGAGAATCTCATACTAGAGAATACACAACTGCTGGAAACCAAGTAAGTATGAAAGTTGAACAAGGAATAAAAGCTAATGAATTTTCTTGTTGAAGTCAATGACTTATATTAGCTTAACACAGTGTGGTGTTGTCTCCATCATTCTCTGTGTGTGGGCATGTGCATGTGTGCACACACACAAAATAGGTATTGAGTCCTACTTTGCCCCCATAGGTTAAGTTTTATTGCTCTGTTACTTTTTTTAGAAACATAGATTTTCATTTCCTTTCCACTCTACAAGTATCTTCTATGCCTTTCTCTCAGTATTCTGGATGTGTCTTGAACCCTTTCCCCCTCGTTGATGTGCCATTTTCATATTGTTTTTCCTTTGGGTTTCTTATATTTCTTCAAAAATGTTTTGATTTTTACTGAGCCTCTTCTGTAGAGCTCTCCTTCATAGTTGTGCATTCTAGGGTACATTTTGTGGAGTCGTAAGATCTTCAAGCAACAGGTTAGGGTATTGTTTAATAGAACAGGTCCTTTGTCATGTGAAGCAGCAGACTGGGCCCACTTGTCAATTTCCTATGTCAGAGCAATTTTGAAATAACTGTGTATGTCCATATAGAATGCAGCTAGCTGTAAATGAGGTTATACCTACTGTAGTCAAATATACTGGATCTTAATTTTTTTATTTCAGTTTCTTTCTAATTTAAATTAATTTCTCATTAGTTACTAAAGGTGATTTAAGAAGTAATTTGACTATTTTTTTGTAATACCTTTTTGGAACTTATAATAGTAGCTTTAGAAAGCTATTTTTTAAGTTTAATCTTTCTTAATGCTGATTTTTTTTTATTGGTGGTCTGTCCTCTTTTACCCATTATTTGCTTGCCAGGTATGAAGAACAAAACTATTGCTTTGTGTTCTTTTGGCCTTTGTCTATCAAAAGCATCAGGTACAATGTCTTAAAGTATTCAGATGCCCAGTTTTATGATTAGAAAGTTTATTTTGATCTGCAAAGGAATAGCTCAAAGATGGTAAGGGTATTTATTTGTAATGATGTATTTGAAATATGTGTTTCTTAGAAATGCTTTGAATGTAGTGAAGAATGATTTAATAGCAAAAGTGGATGAGCTGACCTGTGAGAAAGATGTGCTACAGGGGGAATTGGAGGCTGTGAAACAAGCAAAGCTGAAGCTAGAGGAAAAGAACAAAGAACTGGAAGAAGAGCTCAGGAAGTAAGTTTTAGCAGTTGCTCTAAACCAGACATGCCCAGCCTTCTGACATTGCAACATGATGTCATCTACAAATGTGTTGGACTGCATTCATGGGTATCCTGGGACACATGCCACCTCAGGCCACAGATTGGACATGCCTGTTCTAAACCAAACTCTTTGCCAGGGTGCCACAAAGGAGTACAGGAATAGCCCTGAGACTGAGGCTTCCAGCCCACTCAAACCAGGAAGGACCAAGTGCTGCCTAGAGAGAGTGAAGGCCCCCAGCCATTTGTCCTTCTCTACTTACCAGCCTGTTAACCAAAAAGTACTTTTTTCTGTGCTTTATCTCCCACTGCCCAGTTCATCTTGGTGTCAAAAATTAGAACTGCTATAACATCTTTGATAATAAGGAAATTAAAATTCTTTATTTTCCTTCACTTAGCTTGATTTTGTTGTTTTTCTTCCTTGGGATAGAGTCTTATGTAACCCAGGCTGGCCTCTAATTCACTGTGTATAACAGAGGATGGCCCTGGACACCCGATCCTCTGTCCTCAGCCTCTCAAGATGAAGTTATAGGCCTGTGCTGCTGTGGCTGACCTATTGGTTTTATTAATTTGTTTATTTTCTGAGACAGGGCCTCGTGCAGTCCACCTGACTTTAAATTTACTGTATATCCAAGAATGACCTTGAACACCTACCTGATCCTCATGTCCCAGTTTCCAAAATTCTGGTATTAATGGTGTGTGCCACCACACCTTGCCCAGCCTGCTTTTTGTTGTTGTTGTTTTTAAGAAGTAAAATAATGTCATTTTTCTAAGATGAAGGCATTTTTCTGCTACCTTCTGTGGCAATTTAAATTGTGTTTACATATTCTTTTATTAATTTAATTTTTATTATTTTTAAATTTTGTGTGTAATAGTGTTTTGCCTGCACATATGTAAGTGCCCCCATGCCTGCAATGCCGGCAGAGGCAAGAGAAGAGAGCATCGTATCCCTTGGAACTGGAGTTAAAGAGAGTTGTTGGCCACCATGTGGGTGCTGGGAACTGAACCTGGGTCCTCTGCAAGAGCAGCCAGTGCTCTTAACCACTGGGCCATCTCTCCAGCTCCTCTTTCATTACTTTAAAATGATGAATTCAATTCAAATAATGTGCTTAATTTTTTTCTTCCCTCAGAGCTCGTGCAGAAGCTGAAGATGCAAGGCAAAAAGCTAAAGATGATGATGATGTAAGTCTATAATTTGGAACTTTTTTCTTACAAGTATTAGGTATTTTGGAAATACCATGCTAATATTCAGATATAGCATTATAAAGCTCTTAAAAAGAAGATATGTTTAAATATTATTAATAAGCTAGCTCATGCTTCCTCATGGTATCCACATGCTAAGTTTTTTTTAGTTATAGGTTCTGTGCTCACTTTTCCTCTGTAGTTCAGTGCTTTGACCTGTGTTCACAGACTAGCTTCAAACTGACACTCCCCATTTTGTCTCAGCCTCCAGAGTACTGGTCTTACAGGCAGGGGCCACCACATCTAGATTGCTTACATGTTTAAATCCAAGAAGCTTAGAGCCACCTGGGACTGTCTCAGGATTGTTTTTGTTTGATTTTATTTTGTTCTTTTCCTTTGCTTTGGGGATTGAACCTAGGCCTTGTATGCATTAGGCAAGTGCTCTACTACTGAGCTATATCCCAGGCCTCAGATTTTGATTTAGGACTATGAAATCATTAGGCTGGAGAGATGGCTCAGCAGTTAAGAACACTGGTTGTTCTTGCAGAAGACCCAGGTTCTAATCCCAGCACCCACATGGTAGCTAAAAACTGTCCGTAACTCCAGTTCCAGGAGATCCAATGGCCTCTTCTGTCCTCCAAGGGCATTGCACGATACAGGTGCACTTACCTACATGCAGGCAATACACACATACACATAAAATAAAAAAAAAAGAAATCATGATAATAAACAATATTTAACATGAAAAGATGAATTCTAGAACTTAAGTGCTTGCCAATTAGCCCATGTTGTTGCTACATACATATGTAGAAAAGAATGGACAGGAGCTTCTTATATAGTGCTGCTAGAATACTAAAGTATCATTTTTTAACATTAAAAAAACTTCTTTAAAAAATAACTTATTTGTGTATTATGTGTATGAATATTTTGCCCATATGTACATAAGTGCACCCATCTGTACAGTTGCCATGGAAGAGGGCCTTGAATCCCCTGGAACTGGAGTTAAAGATGGTTGTTAGCCACTACATGGGTATTGGGAACTGAACCTGGGTCCTCTGCAAGAGTAGCCAATGCTCTTAACTGCAGAGCTTTTTTTTTTTAATTATACTTTTATTGGAGTCACTAGGAGAAAGATTCACTTGTGGTTCAAGTCAATGTTCAGAATCCTAACTGGCCAGAAAGATCTGGTCCCCAGCATGAGGCCAGGAGGGAGGGGACCAAAGAGATGAAGGAAAGACAACAGCCCTGTAAAAAGATGAGTGGGTGGCTTCACACATACAGATGAAATGTTGGAAATCTCTCCAGCCTCTAAATGATTATTCTTTTTCTTTTTAATTTTTTATTTTACGTGTATGAGTATGTTGCCTGTATGCATGTACGTGTACGTTTTGGATATTGCCCACAGAAATCAGAAGTGGGTGTCAGATCCCCCGGAGCTGGAGTTATAGATGGTTTTAGCCACCATATGGGTAGTGGGAGTTGAACCCAGGCCCTTTGTAAGAGCAGACAGTGCTCTTAACTTCTGAGCCATCTCTCTAGCCTCTAGATGAGTATTATGATAGATGCTTTCAGATTGAAATTCAAGTTTGAGATAAATGAATGTCCTGGACAGAAGGGTCATGTGGCGTTCCTTCAGTCTTTGTGCTTTTTACTAGAATATATAATACATACAAAAATAGGTGTAAATTGTAAATTGGGGTTGTAGAAATGGCTCAGCAGTTAGTTTGCTACTCCTGGAGAAGACCCAAGTTCAGTTCCCAGAACTCATGTCTGTAACTCACAATTGCCTATCTAGGGGATCTGACAACCTTTTCTGGCCTCTGTAGACACCTGTATACATGTGCACATATAGACACATACACACACATTTTTTAAAAGCTAATATAAAACATATGTTCTGAATCATAATAAATTTTTATAAGTCAAAGCCAAATTTAAGAACTAGAACATGGATCAGTGAGATGGTTCAGCTGGTAAAAGCACTTGCCATGAAGCCTGACTACCTGAACTTGACCCTCCACAAGCACCCCAACATGCACACAAAAAAAATGTGAAACATGTGCTGGATAGCTTTAGTGTCAACTTGACACACCTGGGTCGAGGGAGCCTCTGTTGGGCAGTTTCCTTCTTTGGACTGGTCACGTCCATGGGGTACCTTCTTGATTTTTGAATGATGTGGGAGGGCCCAGCCCACTGTGGGTGGTGCCACCCATGGGAAGGTGGGCCTGTGTTGCATGGGAAAGCAGGCTGAGCAGGGACCAGGGGAGCTAGCCAGTAAGCAGTATTCCTCCATGGCCTGTGCTCCAGCTCCTGCCTCCAGGTTCCTGCCCTGAGTTCCTACCTTGGGCTTCCTGATGAACTGTGACCTGGGAGATGGAAGCTAAATAAACCCTTTCCTTCCCAAGTTGGTCTTGGTCAGAGTGTTTTGTCACAGCAATGAAGAAACAAACTAGGACAACATGTTTTAAATGGACTGTCAAGATAGCTTAGCAGTTAAAGATACTTGCTGCCAGACCTGACAACCAGAGTTCAACCCCCATGACCCACATGGTGGGAAGAGAGAACCAACTTCTGCAAGTTGTCCTCTGCATGATGTGGCATGCATGCATCCACATACGTGTATACACACACAGATATACTTAATAAATAAATGTAATGTGAAAATAAACTGAAACTTTACCAAACATGTCTCTCACCCCTAGAGGAAAACACAGTCCTTTATCATCTGCTTAACTGAAAAATAATTTGAGCCCTTTGTGGTAGTGTACCCTTTAATCCCAGCACTTGGGAGGCTGAGGCTAGTAGATCTTTGTGAGTTCCAGGCCAGCTAGGGCTTCCTAGTGAGACCGTCTCAAAAAATTTTTTTATTATATCACAAATATAGATGGATGGATGGATGAGTGGATGGGTGGATGGACGGATGGATGGTGGTCCTAGTTATCACTGTCATATCCTAGAATTGCCTGAAAAAGGAGTCTCAATTGAGTATTTGTCTTTATCAGGTTGGTCTGTAGACAGTTCTATGAGGGACTGTCTTGACTGTTAATTGATGTAGGAGAGCCCAACCTATAGTGGGTGGTACTGTCTCCTGGCTGGTGGTCTTAGACTGTATAAGAAAGCTAGCTAAGCATGGGCCAGAGAGTGAGCTAGCAAGTAGTGGTCTTCCATGCTTCTACTTCATGCTCCTGCTTGAGTTTCTGCCTTGACTTCCATCAATGAGGGACCATGTTCTAGAAGTGCAAACCAGATAAATCCTTCCTTCCCCTAAGTTGCTGTGGTCAAAGTGTTTTATCACAAAAACAGAAAGGAAACTAGGACACACATATATAGCTAACATTTCATAACATTTTGAAGTGGAATTTATAAGAGCATATTAAATCTATATAGGTAACAACTAACTTTCAATACTTTCTTTTATTGTATATGAGTGCTTTGCCTGGATGTCTATAAATGCACTATTTGCATGCAGTGCCTGTGGCCACCATGTGGGTATTGGGAACCAACCCAGGTTCTTCAGGTTCTTTTTCTTTTCTCTCTTTCTTTCTCTCACTCTATCTCCCTCCCTCCCTCCCTCCCATCCTTCCATCCTTCCTGGTCTCCTTGTAACCCCAGCTGGCCTTGAACTCACAGAGAAACACCTGCCTCTGCCTCTTAAGTGCTGGGATTAAAGGTGTGTGCCACTACACCCAGCATCTTAATTCTTTTATAAAATGATAAAATAACACATTTGTAAATTCAGAAATTAAATAGTCTACATCTATATATCCCTACAAAGTATGTTTTTCATGTTTCATACTACCTTTATGGGCAGAGGGTGTGCCTCCATGATAGAGTGCTTGCTTGCTTGAAGTCCTGGATTCAGTCTAGAGACTAAAGGACAATGTTCAGTCTTGGAGACTTGCTGGTCTTGACAGTATGAAGTTTTGAGATTTGTCTGTATTGTAATATAGTACTATAGTTGATTCATAGCATCCTATTATGTGAGTGCTCCATAATTTATCTGTTTTCTTGTTAATGAATAGTAAGGTTTTTAGCTTTTTTTTTTTTTTCAATGTATATGCGTGTAGGTAAGTGCACCCATGTCGTGCAATGCCCTCGGAGGTCAGAAGAGACTGTCGGATCCCCTGGGACTGGAGTTATGGACAGTTGTTAGCTGCCATGTGGGTGGTGGGATTCGAACCCGGGTCTTCTGCAACAACACAGTGCTGTTGGTAAACATTATAATAAGTCAGGCATGAAGGGTGGAGAGATGGCTCAGCAATTTAGAGCACTGTTTTTGCAGAAGATCCGGGTTTGAATCCAAGCACCCACATGGCAGCCAACAACTGTCCATAACTCCAGTCTCAGCGGATCCGACAGCTTCTGACCTCTGAGGGCATTACACGACACGAGTGCACTTACCTACATGTAGGCAATACACACATACACGTAAAATAAAAAATAAATAAATAAAATTAAAAATAATAAGTCAGGCATAATGGTGCTTGCCTGTAATCCAGCTCATAGGAAGCTGAGGCAAGAGGATGGCAAGTTTGAGCTAGTGTAACAGGTCAGTCTGGACTAGCCTGGATTACTTAATAAGACTGTCTAAAAAAAAAAAAACAAAAGTGAAACATTGTAGTACAAGCCTTAGTGTTGAGACTTGCGAAAAGTTTTCTGAGTATATCCCTAGTAGTGGGATTGCTGTATTGGGAAATTCAGGCCTTTTGTTATTTGTGGTTGACTTTTGTTTAAAGAGGCCAAGTTCTACCAGGAGTGGTGGCACACACCATTTAATCCCAGTACTTGGAAGTCAGAGGCAGGAGGTTCTCTGTGAGATCAAGGCTAGCCTGGTCATCTATGTAGTGAGTTCCAGGCCAGCTGGGAGACCCTGTCTCAAAAAGCAAACAACAACAACAAACCCCCCCCCACCCATAAAAAAGAGGCCTAGTTCTGTAGTAGGAGGTGAAGGAATGCTGAGGACTAAGTTCAGTTTTTCTCTGACTGAAGGCTTCAGCTTTGATCCAAAATAAATATAATCCTCTCAACAAAACAAAAGCACCATCATTAAACCCACCTTCTTCCCCAGAAGAGAGCTGAGAAAGCAGCAGAAGGAAGTTAACCTAGCCATGCTCTTTGGAGTTTGTACCCTGTGTATCTTTCCATACCCACATCCTGTTCTTTCTAGTAGCAATGCTGGCTAGTATAGTGATTCCATCTTATATCTCTGCTGGTATTTTTGTGACTGTTACAGTGGGTTCCTTAGGAACAGAGTAATAGGTTGACTACTTATGCTAGCTCCTGAATATTTAAATGGATTGGTAGTTTGAGATATATGAACCTCTTTTTGAGCTACATTGTAACTATTTTCTGAATGACCCAGAACATGAATTTAAAATGTTAGTATAACATTTCCAAGAAAATTAATAAGGGTACATTAAAATCTTTTAGAAAGTTAACTTTTTTGGTTTTAGTTAAAAATATGTAATTTAGGGGGCTGGAGAGATGGCTCAGGGGTTAAGGGCACTGGTTACTCTTACAGAGGACCTGGGTTTGGTTCCCAGCACCCAAAAAGCAGCTAACAACTGTGTGTAACTCCAGTTCCAGGGAATCCAATGTTCTCGTCTGACCTCCACAGGCATTGTATGCATGTAGTATACTTACACACATGCAGGCATAAATAAAAAATATTTTTAATTTGTAACTTTTTATCAAATTATAATTCAAATATCAGTGTTTATACTCCAAAATTAAGTTGCTTACCTCTTATCTTTTTGGTCATAAGCAATAAATTGAGTGTCTGATTATTTTATTTTATAAGGACATTTTTAAAGTCATCTTATTAAAGTTAAAAATTAAGAAATGTTTAAAATTTTAAGATTTTGTTTAAGTCTGAGAGTAACACCAAAACATACCTAAACTCCCAATGTGATTTGCCCCTTGTTATTATAGAGTGACATTCCCACAGCCCAAAGGAAGCGGTTTACTAGAGTAGAAATGGCCCGAGTACTCATGGAGAGAAACCAATACAAAGAGAGGCTAATGGAGCTTCAAGAAGCTGTTCGGTGGACAGAAATGATCCGGTTTGTATGAGAAATCCTCTGGTGTTCCTACTATTGCATCATTAGATGCATGTGTTCCTTCATTGCTAACTAGAGTCCTGCTTAAGGATTTGTGCCATTTTGTTTACAAGGAGAAACTTTCTAAATTAGCATTTAGATTAGTAATAGAACAGGGTCAGAGATATTCTGAAAACTAGGTTTCTTTGGGACAGTATAGGTGTTCCCAAACCTGTAAAAGATAATTATTACTTAGGAATGGATGGTCATTTTTCCACAAGAATATGGAAATTGTTACTACTTTGCTAGTGTTAGGGGAAAAATACATTTCACATACAATACAGAAAAAAATAATTCATTTTTACTTAGAATCTTCCTGTAAAATATACTTGACTTTTCCCTCTTTATATTTGTCTGTTTATGCAAAATGCACCTTTCATTGACATCTTTCAGTCAGTTGGATCTTTTTTAAATCATTAACACACATTAATGATTAACATTAAGGGGGTTCAGTATGATAGTTAATGCATACATATAGTACACACAGATCAAACCATGGTCCCTACCAAGTTTGCAAATTATTTGCTCATTAATTTACCCATGTTTTTTGAGTTTAGATTGTCACATTGAATTTACAGGTGTTTTTAAAGTTTATAGTCCTAACATTCAACTTTTACTTTCTTATACTTACATCATTTTTGAGCATCATTAAGTGATTTATCAAAACAGTAAAGTTACAAGCTATTTCTTAAAGGGTGAAAGTACAGACAATAAAGTTCAGATGATATCTTTACTTTAGATAAAGGCAGGGATTTACAAAGCATCATTTTAAAGGGAGAGTTAGAGGATGTCTTTTTTAATAATTTTCTTTTCATCTTTTGTTGTTGTTTATTGAGACAGGTCTTGCTCTGTATCTCACACTAGCCTCAAACTTGTAATCCTCCTGCCTTAGGCCCCTTTGTGCTGGGATTAAAGGTGTACACCACTATACCCAGCTCAAAAATTTTAATATTTTTGGTCATGATGCTCTACCCTTACCTATAGTCCTAACCACTTGGATGACAAGGCAAGTGGATTGCTTGAGATGAAGAGTTTAGAGCCAGTCTGGGCAGTGTAGTGAGACACTTTATTTTTTGGTTTGTTTGTTTTGTTTTGTTTTTTTTGAGATAGATTCTGGCTTTGTAGCCCAAGCTGGCCTGGAACTAGCTAGAGCCTTCTTACTTCTGCTGGGATGAAAGGCTTGCACTACCGTACCCTGCTCTAGACCTTCTTTCTTAACAGCAACAAAAGAAATGGGGAAAACTTTAAATAGGAACAATCAGGCTTATTGACTATTTGTCCAACACAGGTAATAATCTAGCAAGACACTGAGCTCTTTAAGGTGGGATGGTAGCAGACTGGCTCATGTCAAAGCAACTGCTTGCTAAATTTAATTATGGACTCTTGCTGGTGTAGCCTGTGAACTTTGTGGGTCTTTTGTTCTTAGAGAAAACTAGAACACCTGTATCTATCTAATAACACTTTTTTTTAAAAAAAAAATCTAGGGCATCACGAGAAAATCCAGCCATGCAAGAAAAAAAAAGGTCAAGCATTTGGCAGTTGTAAGTATATTAAGGACATTAAACATAGATAACATTTTGAGACAAGAATATTATACTGACTTTTTCCAATTAGGAGGAAATAGCTAAACTGAAGTTCTTCTTTTTGATATATAGCATGCCAACTCGGTAAGGCTGTTCTTGAGGACCAAGAATAAACTGTTGTAAGCTGCATCATGTCAGTCATGCGTTTGGTGGCATCTTTTGCCAAATTGAGTAATGGGGAATTATTTATAAAATTGACAGGTACATGAATCCCCATTAAAGTGTAGATGAGAAATTTAATATGGCTTGGTTAGTATGTGTGTGTTAAACTTTATTATGTTTGTGCCAGAAGTACTGTGTTTATTGTGGTTAAAATCATTTTAGGAATAATCTATTTCATTGAAGCATAAATGTTTTCACTGTGGCTTGGAAATAGTTAACTTAAATTGAGCTTAATCAGAAAATACATAAGATGTGTATTAACTTGGTGATGTGTGTTCTAATACTTTAGTATGATAAACTGTTTTTAGAGCTGGCATACTAAGCTTCTGTTCAAACCATACAGTCATAACCTTACTGCTTAATAACTATTCTTACATTGCACCAAGCAGGAGCTAGCTAAGGAATCGTTTAGTTTATTCAGTAAACGCTTTCTATACTCAAGAGCGCCTCTCTTTCATTGTGGAAATTGCTTATTAAAAAAACTGGCACCTGGCATTCTAGGCAATAGTTTTCTTTCCCCCCGAATGTCTGATTTTGGCTCTGAGTTACTGCTAAAACTGCAATGTATGACTATAAATACTTTTTGCCAATGTCTAACTTGTAGAAGCACTTTGAAATTTTCTTGAGCACAAAAATTTATGGAAAAATTAGGGACTTTTTTCACAATGTATATGACAGATATACTTGTGATTTTTGGGGGGAGTTTATTGTTTGTTTTTTTAGTTTCAGCAGACTTTTCAGCTCTTCAAGCAATACAACAAAGAAGCCGGAACCACCTGTTAATCTGAAGTACAATGCACCCACGTCTCATGTTACTCCTTCTGTTAAGAAAAGAAGCAGCACCTTATCTCAGCTCCCTGGTGATAAGTCCAAAGCCTTTGATTTCCTTAGTGAAGAGTAAGTATTTTCTAAACTAATGGCCTTCCCTAAAGTAAGTTAATAGTTTAGAATTCTCTTGACCCTTATTAAATCTTTTACAAGAATCTATAAAGAAACTTTCTGGCAAGACATGATGACTTAGCTTGTTAATCCCAGTATTTGGGAGACTGAGACAGGAGGATTATCCCCAGTTCAAGGCCAGCTGATATATATGGAGAGTTCCAGGCAAGCTTTAGTTACAGACTGAGACCCTATCTCAAAGAACAAAAGGAAATTATTTCTGAAAAAGAATAGATTTCTATAACTTGACCGCCTTTAAGTAGATTACCTATAGAGCCAGGCATGATGGCTCATGACTGTAATCCTAGTACTGTGGAGGCTGAAGCAGGAGGACTGTAATTTTGAGGTCAGCCTGGGCCACAGAGCGAGACCCTATCTCAGAATAAATGAATGCCTTATAGCCAGTGTTTCTTAGCAAGTTGCACTTTAAGCCAGCAAGATGGCTCAGCAAGTAAAGTTTTTGCTGCCATGCTTGATTATTTGAGTTCAATCTCCAGGACTCATAGGGTTGAAGGAGAGAATCAACTCCTATTTAAGCCTTTGTCCTAAGGGTCTGAACATTTCCTTTAAGACCCAAAAGGACTTAGTTTTCTCTTCTGACTCTGCTGCTCATTAGGTATATACACGTTGACAATTTAACCTCTCAGAACCCATTTTTCTACCTGAAAATTGGGTATAAGCTATTTCAAAGTCTGTACAGTGTCTGACTTACTGATATAGTGGTTGTTGGTAGGTTTGTAGATATGTTCTATACAAAAAATCACCTCAAAAACTTAAATGGCCAACAAAAAGAAATTCTTTTTTGTAAATCATTTTCATGCATCACTCCAAATCTCTAAAGCTTATTCAGTTTGTCTTTTTGTTTCCTAAAATTAAGTGAGTAGAATATAAAAATTGAACTTAATTATCTTCCTGAGCAGACTATAGCACAGTCTCTGGCATTAGAAAAGTCTCAGTATTTGTTGAATGCATTAGAAAAGAAAAAACCCAAATAGCCAGGTGTGGTGGCACATACCTGTAATCCCAGCACTCTGGAGGCCAAAGTCAGTGGATCTCTTGTGAGTTCAAGGCCAGCCTGGTCTACATAGCAAATTCCAGGCCAGCTGAGACTACAGGGAAACCTTGTCTCAAAGAAAAGGAAGAACCCAAATAATTTCAGAATTTTTCCCTTTCATACGTAACATCTGAAACTTCATAAAAATTTGATGGCTAATAACTCAGTTTAATACAATATGCTGCTTACTTTTTGAGGCCTTGTTGGACAAACATGAAAAGAATACCTTTAATTAAAAGTGTGTGTGTGTGTGTGTGTGTGTGTGTGTGTGTATGAGTGTTTGAGACAGAGTCTTACGTAGCCCAGGTTAGGTTGAAGCTCACTATGTAGTGGAAGATGACTTTGAATACCTGCCCTCACCTCCCAGGTGCTGGGATTATAAGCTTGCACCACAGTTTTGGTATAATAATTTCTAAAGAGCTGTTGTAGTCTGAATAAATAAGTTTAGAACCAAATATTTTTGTTTGCTTTTCTTTTTCTTTTCTATTTTAGCAAGAGAGAGGAGGTATAACTTTTATTGCATTCATGTAATTAAAACTGCACGTATCTTCTTCTAGAACTGAGGCTAGTTTAGCTTCCCGCAGAGAACAAAAGCGAGAACAGTATCGGCAGGTAAAGGCTCATGTTCAGAAGGAAGATGGTAGAGTGCAAGCTTTTGGCTGGAGTCTACCTCAGAAGTACAAGCAGGTAACTTGGGAATGTGATGAGTGTATAGCAGAACATACAGACTGAGAGGAATATGGAAAACATGAATTTGAAATACATATCCAGGGGCTGGAGAGATGGCTCAGCGATTAAGAGTACTGGCTGCTCTTGCAGAGGATTTGAGTTTGAATTCCAGCACCCACATGGCAGCTAACAACCATCCGTAACTCCAGTTCCAGGGGATCTGATGCCCTCTTCAGACCTCCACCGGCACTGTACAACATGAGTGCACTTACACACATGCCGGCCAACACTCATACACATAAAAATAAATAAAAAATTGAAATAGGTATCCTAAATTGCTCATTTCAAGCTGCTTGGACTTGGCATTTAGAGAAATATGGAAGCTGGTGTTTTTTCAGGATGTTTTCTAGAGCCCTAAAATGTGAATAAAACACCTCTGGGTCTGAACTCCTAAAAGACTGAGCACATTTGTATACAAACATGCACTTTAAGAGTGCAAGTGTAATTGTGAACTACTGCCTCGTAATGAGCTCCTGAGCTCCTCTTCTACTTTATTTATTGTCACCAATCACTACTTGGTTTTCTGTGCTTTTTTTCAAGTAAGAATGACAAAATCAAGGTGAACTTGATTTCAATAGCAAATGCCCCACAGACTTGCTAGCCCACATCTCAGTTGTTCTGTAAGAAGTTCGCTATTAATGAGGCTAACTGGTGTGTCCCCTTCATTGTTAGGTAACCAATGGTCAGGGAGAAAGTAAGATGAAAAATTTACCTGTGCCTGTCTATCTCAGACCTCTAGATGAAAAAGATGCATCCATGAAGGTAAGCTAATTGCAACACCAAAGGGTAGTCCTCAAATTCGAGTGGATTTTTTATTTAAACCAAAAATCTGTTTAAACCAAAAATGTTTATAAAGAGATTTTGTAGTGAGACAATTGTCCATTTTATAGCTTTTTAATTTTGATTTTTTTTTTTTTAAACAAAGTCTCACTGTGTAATCCAGGCTGGTCTTGAAATCTTTCCTCCCCTCCCCTCTTTGGCCTTAAACCCTTGATCCTCTGCCTGAGCCTCCTAAGTACTGTGGTTATAGGCATGTGCCACCACACCCAGTGCATAGCTTACCGTATATTAAACACAGTGCTTACCATTAGTTACTTTAAGAAAAGGTGAAATTTTTCTAAGTATTTTTAGTGAGAAAAATGATATAATAATTCCTTTCTACCTTCTCCCCCAACCTGAGAAGCTGTGGTGTGCTGTTGGAGTCAATTTGTCTGGTGGCAAGACCAGAGATGGCGGTTCTGTTGTTGGAGCAAGTGTATTTTACAAGGACATTGCTGGTTTGGATACTGAAGACAGTAAACAGCGAAGTGCATCTCAGAGTAGTTTAGATAAGTTGGATCAGGAACTTAAGGTAAGGAAATGTGCAGTAGTGTTGGACTTCCTGGTTATAAATATACTAGTTCAGCTCTTCAGTGCATTGATTAGGGGTCTAACTTCTCTTAGAGATTACTGTGCACTAGCTCGTTCTCCCTAATACTTTTAACATTAATATTGAGGTATTATTTACATATAGTCAAGTATACACTTGAAATGAGTACAATTCAGTTTATGCAAACCTCTGTTAACCACTACCACACAGAATATGTGACTATTTGTTCCACTTATGTGCTTCAACTACTAATTTTTAGTCTGTAATACTGATGATTGTATTTTAGTTCTCCCCAAAATCTGGGAAGACCACAGTCTTAGGAATGTTTGCACATACATATAATCTTAAACATTGTCCTTTGTCTACTCAGGAACAGCAGAAGGAGTTAAAAAATCAAGAAGAATTATCCAGTCAAGTCTGGATCTGTACCAGCACTCATTCAGCTACAAAAGTTATCATTATTGATGCTATTCAACCTGGCAACATCCTAGATAGCTTCACTGTTTGCAACTCTCATGTTCTGTGCATTGCAAGTGTCCCAGGTAAAGTGAGTCTCTGCCCCTTCCTTTTCTTTCCACTCTATTCTTCCTTCCAGGTGTTAATCTTGAAGTTCAAAGTCGACAAAACATTGCTTACTATAATTCTTACCTTTGTCCAGATATGAGCTCTGCCCAGTAAATTTGGGAATGCCAGTAGAAAACTAGAATTTTAGGAGCTGTTAATACAGGCTTCATAAGCTGGGCATGGTGGCGCACGCCTTTAATCCCAGCACTCGGGAGGCAGAGGCAGGTGGATCTCTGTGAGTTCAAGGCCAGCTTGGTCTGTATAGCAAGTTCCAGGACAGCTGGGGCTACAGGGAGACCCTGTCTCAAAAAAAAAAAAAAAAAAAAAAACCATATATATATATTTCATTTAAATATTAATTTCAGGTGGAAGGCCAGGTGTGGTAATTCTAGCACTTGGGAAACAGAAGCAGGTGAAGGCTGCCTGACCTGTGTAGCAAGAGTCTGTCTCAACCCCCTGCCCGACAAAAACAAAAATTTTCAAATGGAAGTATGAATGAATAGATGTGGTTAATGGGGTTAGCTGGAATTATTCTGTTTTGTGTTTAGGGGACAAAGCTAGAATGTTATATTGATACATGATTTACATTGATCCTTTGTCCTCATTTGTTAACTGATTGTATTGTATATTGGCTATTTGACTGTTGACCAGTTTTCTTCATTTATTGTAGTTGTTAATTCCTGTAATATGGGATCTTTTACTCGTCCTGTCTAGAAGGATCAGAGAGAGAGATATGTGTGTGTGTGTGTGTGTGTGTGTGTGTGTGTGTGTGTGTATGATTTTGTGTTTTGAGGGGCAGCAAACTTTGTGGAATCAGTTCTCTCCTCCCACCTTACATGGGTTCCAGACATTAAACTCAGGTCATCAGGCTTACACAGCAAGTACTTTACTCACTGGGCCATTTCACTAGCCACCTTTTCTGTTTCTTTTGGTTTTCTGAAGCAGGGTCTCCTTGTAGTCTCAGTTGGCCTGGAACTTGCTTTGTAGACCAGACTGGCCTTGATGTCACAGAGATCTGCCTGCCTCTGCCTTCTGAGTGCTAGGATTAAAGGTATGAACCACCACACCAGGTTCTTTTCTCCTTCTTAAATTATTATTGCTTATCCAGGTGTGTTGGTTTACACCTGTAATCTTAGCACTTGGGCAGTAGAGGCAGGAGGATCAGAAATTCGGGGCCAGCCTTGCCTACATAGAGAGTTCAAGGCCAACCTGTGCCTTGTAAGACCCTGTCTCCCCCCCAAATTATTGTTGCCTAAAGTTAATAAGTATACACACACACACACACACACACACACACACACACATATATAGTTTTTAACTTTTTATTTGTGTGTAAGCGTATATTGCCTGCATGTAGGCCAGGTGCACTTGTGTCATGCAATGCCCACAGAGGTCAGAAGAGGGTGTCAGCTCCCCTGGAACTGGAGCTACAGATGGTTGTTAGCCACCATGTGGGTGCTGGGAATCAAACCTGGGACCTCTGCAAGAGCAGCCAGTACTATTAACCGCTGAGCTGTGTGTGGGTTTGTGCATGTGTGTACAGGTGCCTGCTAAAAGCCAGAGAAGCTGGAGCTATAGGAGGTTATGAGCTTCTGGGAATTGAACTTGGATTCTCCAGAGGAATAGTACCTGGCCTTAACCACTGAGCCATCTCAACAACCCTTAAATTTTTATTTATTATTATTGTGTATTTGAATGTAAGCACATGGCTTTATGTTTCATGTATGGAGGCCAGAGGACAACTTTTGGGGGTTGGTTCTCTGCTCCCACAATGGGGTATAGGGATCAAACCCAGGTCATCAGTTTTGTGCAGCAAGTGCTTTTCCTTGCTGAACCAATAAATATTATTTTACTTTTTAAGTTATTTTCTTGTTTTGTCAGGCTCACTTTAAATAAATTTAATGCTGCCGTCTTGGCAGTACATTCAGGTAGCTGTACATTTCACCTGTATATTCTCGTTCTCATTCTGTCTCTCTCTCTCTTTTTTTTTTTTTTTTTTTTTTTGGTCTTTTTGAGACAGGGTCTCCCTGTAACCCCAGCTGTCCTGGAACTCACTATGTAGACCGCCTGCCTCTGTCTCCCAAGTTCTGGGATGAAAGGCGTGCATCACTACACCCAGCTTCACCTGTATATTCTCATTTCAAATCTAGAGTTGCTTTAATGGGAAAAAAAAATTGCTGCTTATAGGAGTTTACTTAAGTACTCAAAGAAAGTTCCTTTTTTCAGGAGCACGGGAAACAGACTACCCTGCAGGAGAAGAACTTTCAGAGTCTGGTCAGGTAGACAAAGCATCATTGTGTGGAAGTATGACCAGCAACAGCTCAGCAGAGATGGACAGCTTGCTGGGAGGCATCACAGTGGTTGGTTGCTCCACAGAAGGGGTGACAGGAACTGCCACTTCCCCTAGTACCAATGGTGCTTCTCCTGTGATGGAAAGACCATCAGGTATATCTGTTCTTCCTTGCCATCTGTGTAGCTGTATGAGCCTACCCCAGAATACACATTATGGACTTGTCAGTATTAAATACTACAATGGCTATGTGAAAACAAAGAGTTGTCCATCTCCTTACTCAGTGCAAAGGAGGAGGTCATTGGAATGGAATTCTATAGCAGGGGTTTGTGTGGTGAAAGTGTTAGAGGAGAAAAGCTCAAATCAGCATAGTGTTTTTATGGTTTTGTTTTGGTTTTTGGTTTTTTTTTTTTAGAAGTGGAGGCAGAAAATAGTGAAGTTGATGAAAATGTTCCAACAGCAGAAGAAGCAACTGAAGCTACAGAAGGCAATGCAGGTGCCACTGAAGACACCGTGGACATATCCCAAACTGGTGTGTACACAGAACACGTGTTTACTGATCCTTTGGGAGTTCAAATCCCAGAAGACCTCTCCCCAGTGTTTCAGTCAAGGTATGCATCCTAAGTCTGTAACTTGGGGCTTGTGGCAATACACACATAAAAAGAACAAAAATAATGTCAAATAGCCTAAATGCCTAATACTTGATACCCTTGTAGTGAGCTGAAAAGATATCTTCTCCCCTACTTATTCTCTCTGGAGATTTTCTTGCTCCAATTTCTTATCTATTTCTTCCAACATTTTGAAAAAATGAAAAATCTTGTCCACATAGTGTACTAGTCCACATCATCCTGATCCTTTTCTCCTGTGGTATTTTTTTAATTGTGGTATTCTGACTTCCTTTCTATTAATAACTCTTGGTCCTTTTCACCCTATTCACTCCTACTCCAGTTATCATCAAAAGAATCCATTATTTAAATTTGTCATTGTTTGATTTTCCCAAGTTGACTTGAGTGACTTTCTTGAATTTAGTTCTCATGCAGGGTTGTTGTTTCAGGTTCCTTTAGAGGACCGATTAATTTAGACCCTTTTAGTATATTCTTTTTTTATTTTATTTTTATTATTTTTATTTTATGTATATGAGTGTATTGCCTACATGTATGTGAGTGCACCTGTGTTGTGCAATGCCGTGGAGGTCAGAAGAGGGCTTCAGATTCCCTTGGAACTGGAGTTAAGAATGGTTCGTACCTGCCATGTGGGTGCTAGGAATCAAACCCGGGTCCTCTGTAAGAGTAGTCAGTGCTCTTAACCGCTGAGCCATCTCTCCAGCCCCCCATTTAGTATATTCTTATTTTGTTTCTTGCCTCTCTAGGTCCCCTTAGATTAAGGCCTCTTTAAACTGATTCCTTTCTACAATTTTTTTTTCTTAGCTCAACTAACAGTATTAGCATTTAACCATTAATTTAGGAATAAAGTCATGTTTTGAATTTGCTGGTTCTTTTATATATCTTTTACTAGATATGCCCTGACAGCCCAAAATAAAGGTTTTGTGATAGAATATAAACATGTTTTAGTTTAATTTATAAAATTCATTATATATCAACCTCCTTGGCAGACGGGGGGGGGGGGGGATGACACACCCTCTCTCACTTTTCTCTCTCAACCACCCCAGCAAAAACTATCATAAACTTCAAAGTAATTATAATGAAGAACTGTAAATCAACCAGTCTTTCTTCCTTTTTTTGTTCTGGTTGCTTTTGGTTTTTCTTTCTGAGAGTTGTAATTAAAGTCTGAATATTGACTGCTGAATTTCTTTACTGCATCTTATTTTCTTATCTGTGCTTTAGGCTTCCTAGTTAGTATTTCTGTACAGTTGTTGAACTATTCAATATAAGTATTTAATATTGGCTTTTATGGAATTTCAGTGTCTATTTGTTGTGGTTGTAGACTTTAATGTAGAAATGTTCAATCCATGACAACTAAAGCTGAGTATATGCAACTTGTTTTGTTTTGTTTTCCTTGTGTCCACTTTTCTAGTAGTGATTCAGATGTGTACAAAGATCAAATATCAGTATTGCCCAGTGAACAGGACCTGGTGAGAGAGGAAGCCCAGAAAATGAGTAGTCTTTTACCAACAATGTGGCTTGGAGCTCAGAATGGCTGGTAAGTGCTAGCATTTCTAATATGGCAGTATCCTTAGTCTTCTACTTTGGCATTTAAAAGCAAAAAATGGGTGACACAGGCCTGTAATTCCAACATTTGGAAAGCTGAGGCAGGAAAATTGTGAGTTGAGGACCAGCTTAGGCAACATATCATTCCATGTTGGCCTTGGCCACATAGTGAGACCCTTTCTCAATTTAAAAAAAAAACAAAACAAAACAATAACAACAAAACACAAATTACTTAAGCAAAAATGAAATGTAGTAAATACAAATACAAACAAAAAGTGTGGATTAATACAAGGACTTTTATATATATGCACAAAATTTGAAGTTTTGTTACAACTACCTCATAAACTAGAAATATTCTTAGGAGGAAAAGTAAGTAAGGTTTTAAAATCCTAGCAAGGCATGGAAGTGCATTCCTAAAATCTCAGCACTTGGAGGATTACAAATTTAGGCTAGCCTGGGCTGCATTACAAGACCCTGTCTCAAAAAACCAAAACTAAATTTAGAACATCTTGAATAGCACTAATACAGAGAACTATTGATATAGAAGGCTTATACATGTTGGAATGTTGACAGGAAATTCCAAGGATTAAAGTAATGTGGTTTGGCTCCATAAGAAAAAATCCAATCCCCAACTTTAGCTTTTTGGTAGAGTTACTATAAACAAGAATTACAAAATGTGCCTGGGGAGTAGCTCAGTGATGAAGAACACTGACTGATCTTGCAGAGGACCTGAGTTTGGTCCCCAGCACCCACATGGTGACTTATGAACTTCTATTAATTACTGTTCTTGGGGATCCAATGCCCTCTTCTGGCCTTGAGCAGTAGGCACACACACAGTATACTTCATGCAGGCAAACATTCATACATACGAACAAAATAAAATATAAAAATTGTTCAGAGGAAAAAGAATAAATCATAATTTGAAAGCTCAGAGGATGGTAATCATATTACTTGCTTTGTTTACTCCCTAATAGTTTGGTGGGATATTACAGAACTGTGCATTTCCAAAAGTTAAGCAGAGTAACCCATATGTCTTTTTCCATAGGGATCTGGAACTATAAAAAGTGGTGTTAGTAAACCTAGGATGACTTTGTTCCAGTACAACTTTATATGCGGACACTAAATTTGAAGTTTATTTAAATCTTACATCATGAAATAATACTTTAATTTTTTTCCCCTGACCATCTGAAAATATACAAACCACTGTTTAGTTTGCAGGCTGTACTAAACATGTGGCTGACTGGCCTTGGCCTACAAGCCATAGTTAGCCATTTTCTGATGTGAATCACTCTGTCATACAAAAGTTTGGTGCAATAGAGATGTGGGATAATCCATGAAAAGGATTTTATCCAGAAACAGTTAAGTGTGGGGCAACCTAAATGGTTGATACTCTAAACCAACACTAGTACTAGCATTTTGGTCTCCACGTTTCTGTTTGTTTAAACAGCCTATTTTTCTGTCTTAGGTCAACCTTGACTCTCCTTGTTGTTGTTATTGTTGTTTTTTCTGATCATGCGTACGAAAGCATCAGACCCTTTTCCTAAAAATTGATTGCTACTCTTTGTTGTGGTCATTGTTAGATAGAAGCATTGTGATATTCTCTGTGCCTTACCAGTCTTGACTTTGTTCTTGCAGTTTGTATGTCCATTCGTCTGTAGCCCAGTGGAGGAAATGTCTCCATTCCATTAAGCTTAAAGACTCGATTCTCAGTATTGTGTAAGTTTAATTTTTTTAATTATTCCTTTTAAAAGTGTTGATTTTAGTGTTAACTACATTTGTTAAAACTACTATGTATCATGATTCTATCAGTATACAAGCTTGGTGTATTTGTTGGTTTTAACCATTTTAATGGACCGTAGAGAAATTGAGCAAGAAAGAAATTCTATATGGAAAGTAGAAAACTGAAGTAGAAGAGAACTTTCCAGATTGAATCTTAACTTTAGTAGTTCAGGAAGAGAACTACCACCTATTCATTTATATTTTGTTTCAGAATAGTATTCATAGCTTGGGAGTATGTTGATTGGGGCATTGGTTTGTTATTCCTTTCCATAGGTTGACTATCAAGTTCAAACAGTTTATCTAAGTCTACAGAACTGTTCCAATCAAAATGTGCATCTCTGGTTTGTACAGTTATGTTGACCCTGGGATGAGAGAAGGAACCTTGGGCTAGAAAGCAGAACAACTGCTATAACCACACACTGTGCATTTAATTCCTTTGAGATGTTTTCCTAGCAAGACATTCACAGTGAAGACAGCAGTGAGTTCATTTAAGTGTTATACAAGTCCCTCGTCACAAACTGGCCCTTTGAGAAGCTCTGCATTGGTTCAGTAACATGTGGTCCCTTCTGTACTACTGAATGGAGGTTCTGAAATTCCTTTTCCTGTTTGCAGACACGTAAAAGGGATTGTGTTAGTGGCCCTGGCTGATGGCACCCTTGCAATCTTTCACAGAGGAGTTGGTAAGTAGTTAAGAATATATAACATAAGCTGGACATGGTGGCACACACCTTTAATCCCAGCACTCAGGAGGCAACAGCAGGCAGATCTCTCGAGTTCAAGGCTAGCCTGGTCTACATAGTGAGTTCCAGGCCAGCTGGGGCTATAGGGAGACCCTGTTTCAAAAAGACCAAAAAATAATTAGTCCTAGCACTCAAGAGGCAGAGGCAGGCAGCCTGGTCAACATAGTTCCAGGCCAGCCAGGGCTATATAGTGAGATGGGGGGGCACTCAAAACAAACACACACACACACACACACACACACACACACACACACACACACACACACAGCATGTATGTATCTATATAGTGTATATATATAGTATATATATATAAAGTTTTTTATATATGTATATATAAGTGTGTGTGTGTGTGTAGTACCATATGTGTATAGTATATAGTATGCCAAGCTGTTGTTTGCAAAGCATTTTCAAACTGGCTTTTGTATCTCAAATATTTTAAAATAAGAAAGAACAAAAGTTTAATATTAACATGTCAGTAAATGTGTGAATGAAGGTATGTATTTAGGTATACCTGATAAACAGTGCATCTATCACAAAGAGTACAGAGTACCATTTTCTGTACCCATATATGTACATTATCTTTGTGTGTGTGTATGTATGTGTATGTGCACCTGTTGGTGTGTATGATTGTGGGTGTGCATGTGCCATGCTGTGTATGTGGAAATCAGAGGACAATCTCCTATGTTGGTCCTTGCCTTCTGCCTTGCTTGAGACAGGGTCTTGTTCACTGCTGTGTATGCCAGGTTAGCTGGCCTCTAAAGGTTTTAGAGAGTGTCCTATGTTCACCTTCCAGGACAGCTAGGATTTCAGACGCATACTGCTGTGCTTTGTATTACATGGATTCTGGAGATCCAAGCCCATGTTGTACTCATACTTGCATAGCAAGCACTTTACCCATTGATCCATCTCCCCAGCCTTCTGGTACACTTGTATAGTGTGATAGATATTTATTTTTCATTCACGTATTTACTCAATTAGAAAAATTTAGTGAGGATAATTTTTTGTCACATGCTTTAGAAATAATTCCCTTCTATTTACATTTAAGTTTAAGAGGTTTCCTTTTTTGTTTTTATTTTGAGATAGGGTCTCACTATGCACCCCAGATTAGCCTGAGCTCACATTCCACCTGCCTTATCCTCCCGAGTCCTGGGATCATAGAAGTGTGCTGCAAAACCTGGACTAAAATATGTTTTTTAGTTTTATTTTATTTGTATGTATGTTTGTCTGCATGAGTTTATGTATAACACGTGTCTGCAGTTTCCCAAGGAGGTCAGAGGGTGTCAGATTCCCTGGAACTGGAGTTAACTGGTAGTTGAGAGTCATTTGATATGGGCCTTCTGCAAGAGCAGTCAGTGCTCTTAACCACTGAGCCAGCATCTCTTGAGCTGTCCCCCCCCATTTTTTTAATTGAGTAAAGTATAATCATTATCATGTCACATTATTTTTAGTCACAGGCAGTGTCTATTGACTTGAGAAAATCTGTCTTGAATGGATTGATAAGTAAAGTATGTAGCCTTCATAATAACTCTTTGGTATATGTGTCATCTAAATAGTTTATTTCCTAGCCACTAGGTTGATAAATAAGGAAATATGAAAAAATAAAGTAATTTGGATTTTATCAAAGTCTTGCATCCTGTTGGTATTAAAGATGTGTGAGGTAAATGATACTTGGGCTTGTTGGTATATAGAGATTGTTAGGTAATGACTATATCATCACAGAGAAAGGGCTCTATTTTGCTTTATTCAGGTCCTTTATAGAATTTTCTGTGTTTAGGCTTCACAATAACTTAATAGGAAGGTTCACTTGTCATCTTCATTGCATAGATCAGGAAACTGAGGCCCAGGATTTTAATAATTTATTCATAGCCCCTTAGCTACTAAGTGAAAGAGATTAGAAAAAAATGGAATAATGGAGCTGGAGAGATGGCTAACAACTGTCCATAACTCCTAACAACTGTCCATAACTCCAGTTCCAGATCTGACACTCTCTTCTGACTTCCACAGGCATTGCACGATATGGGTGCACTTACATACAGGCAAGCATAACACTCAAACACAAAGTAAAACATAGATAAAAGCTTTTTAAAAATGGAATAATGGCTGGGCCTGGTGGCGCATGCCTTTAATCCCAGCACTTGGGAGGCAGAGACAGGTGGATCTCTGTGAGTTCAAGGCTAGCCTGGTCTACATAGTGAGTTCCAGGACAGCAGCTGGGGCTACAGGGAGACCCTGTCTCAAAAAGAACACCCCCCAAAAAAAAGAAGGAATAATGGATTTATTTTGATAAGCAGAATAAAAATTATATTGACAGAATAAAATTACATTTATTAAGGATCAGTAAAATAAAAGATCCTGCTTTTGGTTTAAAAAAAGAGCAAGAGATTTCTAAGGAGTAAATATTATGTAAAAGTAGACTGTAAACTTATTAAGAGGTAGTAAACAGTTAAAGCCTCTTGAAGTAGAGTGTCCAAAACAGAGCTAGTGATGACCCTGGCTACTATAGCTAATGCAGTGGGCATCAAAAGTGAATGAGCAGGGAGGATCTATAAAGGACTATAGGTGGAACACAGGCCAAAATGCTTGTTTTTGAAAGGAAAAGACAGAACCATAGCAAAGTTAGGACTGTATTTTTACTTTGTCTTTCAACTGGACAAAACTATAGACTAATGGATGATAGCATACGAGTGCCATGTTGTCCCTCAAAGTTTTGAATTTCTCAGCATTTTGTTTTTTGTTTTGTTTTGTTTTTTCTTTTTGAGGTACAGTGTCACTGTGTAGCCCTAGCTGGTTTGGAACTTGCTATGTAGACCACACTGGTCTCAACTTACCTGCCTCTGCCTCTTGAGTGCTGAAATTAAAGGCGTGGTAGCGTCACCACGCCTAGCTTTTGTCGGCGTTTGAAATATATTTTTATTATTTTCATTTTATGTGTACGAGTGTATTGCCTGCATGTATGTGAATCCACCTGTGTCGTGCAATGCCGCAGAGGTCAGAAGAGGGTGTCAGATTCCCCTTGAACTGCAGTTAAGGACAGTTCGTAGCCTCCATGTGGGTGCTGGGAATTGAATCTGGGTTCTCTGCAAGAGCAGTCAGTGCTCTTAACCGCTGAGCCATCTCTCCAGCCCTCTTCTGTCAGCATTTGAATTTCAGATGTACAGACTATATGCATAGTTGGTAGCATGGATTACATGTCACAGTGGATTACCCTTCATTTCTACTTAAGAAAATCCAATAAAATACAAGTGAGTGAGAAAGGTATTTCCCAAATTACTTTGTCAATTCGTGTGTATGTGTGTATACACAAGTGCATGCATGCTGATAGGCCCAGAATCTTGCATGTGCTATCAAGTGCTCCAGTTCTGAATTATATACCCAGTTTTAAGTCCATTCTGACCCTAGAAATATTATCATACTCAGATAACTTGTAACTGATTTGTCACATTGCCACTTTTGAAAGCATATTTTAAAGAGCGCCCAGTTAATTGGGTGGCAGGTTGGATCAAATGTTCTTTGTGAGCTCTTCCGTTCTTAGAGTTTATATAGATAAGGGTATATTTAATACATGCTACTTTGAATGCTTTGTCAATAGAAAGTGGTATGATTAACTATAATCTGCTTCTTTAGATGGTCAGTGGGACCTGTCAAACTACCACCTCTTAGACCTTGGACGCCCTCACCATTCCATCCGGTGCATGACTGTGGTTCATGACAAAGTGTGGTGTGGCTATAGGAACAAAATCTATGTGGTTCAGCCAAAGGCTATGAAGATAGAGGCAAGTTAATCTATATTCTGTGTACTTAAAATTTGTATTACCCAAAGACTGCTGCTAGACTACAAAAACTTTAGAAATTGTTTTCCAAATCTGTATTTTAGGGTACTTCAACAATATCTTTTGATCTCTTAGCTTTCTATGTTACTTGGCCTCCCTTGTTACTTTGGACTATGAGGGTAAGAAGTAGTGTTTTTGTTTCGTTATTTTTTATGGAAAGGATTCACATGTAAAGGTTTATATGTGTCTGTATATGTAGTCACAAATGTGTATTTTATGTTGTTCTTGAGATGTTTAGTTATATAAGGATTTGTTGTTAGGATTCCCAACTCCATGTATATCCACATTCATCTACATATATGCCAGAAACTGAGAAATAACATTGTTATAAAAATAAAATCTCAGGTTTTGGCCACAATATATAAATTCATTCCTGTTATCTAAAATTTTGTTTTTAAATTACAGTAGGAAAATTTTAAGGTGAAATGTCTGCTTCTTCCCTGCTCCAAGTCCCATTCTTTTCTCAGAAATTCCACAGTTAAAGCTAGGCATGGTGGCATATACCTGTAATCCTAGTACTCAGGAGGCTGAGGTAGGAGAATTGCCAAAAGTTCGAGACCAGCCTGAGCTACAAAGCTAGATCTCAATAACCTCCACACACCCCAAAATCCCACAGCTAACCATTTGGTATTTATTTTTCAGGCCTGTTCCATATACAACAGTGTGGGTTCCTTTTGTTTAGTTATCAGTAGGATATTATTTCTTACATTGCTCCGTAGCAACACCAAATCCTAAGATCACAATCTCTGAACACCAGTACATGGTGAGGATATGCCAGCATTGTTTTCATAAGGTGATAACTTGTATAGTGCTGAAGCCCAGCACCACTTGGTTCTGTTGTTGTTGCTGCTATTGAGACAGGCTCTCACTCTGTAGCCCAGGCTGGCCTGAACTCACTACAGTTCTTCTACCTCAGCCTTCCAAATGCTTGGATTATAGGTGTTAGCCACCATGCCCAAGCTACCATTTGGTTCTTTTTTTCTTCTTTACATATGTGTGTATGTGTTTTACATTCTATGATGAAAGAGCTTAATGTGAAGAACAGTCATTAGGTAAGCAAGATTTATCCCTTTAATAATCTTCAGATTGTTGTGCAGATTACCAGTTCTTAAATTTGATTTCCTATGTGATGAAAGTAATTTTGTGATTAAACATCTCTCCTAGAAATCATTTGATGCACACCCCAGGAAGGAGAGCCAAGTACGGCAGCTTGCCTGGGTAGGTGATGGCGTGTGGGTCTCCATTCGTTTGGATTCCACACTCCGTCTCTATCATGCACACACTTACCAACATCTACAAGATGTGGACATTGAGCCTTATGTAAGCAAAATGTTAGGTAAGCTTTCCAAGTGTTTTCTCTATGCTAGTCAATGAGAATGTTTTTGTCTATTTTTTACAGTGTTGTGGCTCTTACCTGGGCCTTGTGTGTGCTATGCAGATGCTCTACCAATAACTTACACCTCCAGCCCCTTTATTTTTAAATGGTCTGAGAAGATTAGTGAACAAACTGCCTCATGAATAGTAAACTTTGATTATTGAAAGTTCTGGACAGATGCTCTAATGTATATCATAGTTCTTGACTGTAGTTTGGGGGAGAGTATTGTTATTTTTGCTTTAGTCCTTCCTTACTCTCCACATCTTACCATTCACTAGGAGCTCTGTCAAATTTGAAAATATTTTAAGTCAGTTACTTATCTTGATCACTGTCTTTTTAGGCCAGGTGACTGACCTTTCCCTCTTAGATAACCTTGTGCTTCCTAACTGGTCCCCTTGTTTCCATTCCAATCTATTCTCTACTTAGTAATTAAAGTGCAAAACTCACCTTGATGCACTTTTACTCTGGTGTTTAGGTCAGGTGACATTTTGTCCCATGACCTGGAGACTTTAGAAATAAATAAGTAAATAAATAAATAAATAAATAATTTTTGTTTATTTTGGAGATAAGGTCGCACTCTGTAGCCCTGGCTGGCCTCAGATTGACAGAGGCTCACCTGCCTCTGCCTCTGTCTCTGTCTCTTGAGTGCTGAGATTAAAGGCATGTGCCACTATGACCAGTTCATCCCTCCCTCCCTCCCTCCCTCCCTCCGGGTCTTTTTGAGACAGGGTCTCCCTCTAGCCCTAGTTGGTCTGGAACTTACTATGTAGACTAAGCTGACCTTGAACTCAGGTTCACTTGCCTTTGCCTCCCGAGTGCTGGGAAAAAGCTGTGTGCCAGCACACCTGGCTTCATCCTTTTTCTTAATAGGTTTATCATTAGTGTAATTGTACCTATATTATATGATTCTTGTTTGTTCTTTCGGCATCTCTCTGGTTTTGTTATCTGCTGTATTTTTAGAACCTAATCTAGTGCTATCTGGCCACTAGGGATGTCTTAAAGGATTCCTTTCCTGAGGAGAAATACCAGTATCATTTAACATGTTAGGATCATTGCCCACAGAGAAGCTGACTGTGTACTCTCTCCATAGAATCAGGCATATAGAAACATGTACACAAACTCATTTCAGAGATGTACTTTAAGTGTAGGTTAAAGACTATAGCTTAGGGCTGGAAAGGTGGCTCAGCGATTAAATTAAGAGTGCATGCTGTCTTACAAAGGACCAGGCTTCCATTCCCAGCACCCACATGATGTTTCATAATAGTCTCTAACTCCAGTTCTGGGGAATCTGATGGCCTCTCCTGGCCTCCTTAGGTGCCAGGCATGCCCATGATGCACATACACACATATGGGCAAAACACTCATGCATATAAAATAAATCTTATTTTTTGGTCTTTTTGAGACAGGGTCTCCCTGTAGCCCCAGCTTTCCTGGAACTCACTATGTGGACCAGGCTGGCCTTGAACTCACAGAGATCTGCCTGCCTCTGCCTCCCGAGTGCTGGGATTAAAGGCGTGCGCCACCACGCCCAGCCAAAATAAATCAATCTTTAAAAAAAATTCTTTTAAAGATTCCTAGCTTAGACTGAATGGGAGTTAAGGTTCCTTCTCACATTGCTTCTATGATTAGGCCCTCAGTTCTTACAGGTTAAACACGTATGGTTGACGTTTGTCTTAGATATATTATTTATGTAATCATTATACTTCCTAAATCTCTGAAAATGAGATCAATTATAAAATTTCTCTTTAAAAACTTATACTTCCTACTATTTCTAAACTGATTTAGAGCCTGTGTGGAAATAAGGAAAAGGTATGGTTTTTTTTTAGCAAAGATTAATTTTTTTATTCATACAAAGAAGTTTAAATCAAACCAGGAATTTTTTTTCAGTTTACAAAATCAAAAGACATTTGATTTCTGTTTTGTTTTGTCTTGTCTTTGCTTTGATTTGGTTTTGTAGCTCCCTAATTAAATCCTGTGTTATATTTTTTGATACACTTTATTTTCTTTGTACCATCTTTCTGGTTGGTAATGTAATGCCAGCCACTTGTAGAACTTTCTTTTCCCATTAACTTTGACTTGTCAAATATATAATAAAACCAATAAGAGTTTTCTTTGAGCCAAGATGGTGGTGCGCACTTGTAATTCCAGCCCTTGCCTATAATCACAGCACTTGGAAAGGTGGAGGCCGAGGATCACAAGTCAAGGTCATTCTCCACTAAGTAATTAACTCAAGGCTATCCTGGGATACCGAGACCCTGTCTTTTTTTTTAAGGAGTTTGCTTTGATGTATACCTCTAGCAAACTTTTTTTCTGTTGTTTTAAACTAGCTACTCTTAAAACACTGGATTCTAGAAACAGTACTTGCTCTCATTTCTCAATAAAATGTTCTCCCTTCTCCTCACCTTACAGGTACTGGGAAACTGGGCTTCTCATTTGTGAGGATAACAGCTCTTATGGTGTCTTGCAATCGTTTGTGGGTGGGAACAGGAAATGGTGTCATTATCTCCATCCCATTGACAGAAAGTAAGTATATTTTTAGGTAATTGTCACAAGTTAAATAAAAGATTTTCAGGAAATAACATAGCCCAGAATTCAGGTTAAAGTAATTGTTTAGATATTGGCAAATCTGTGACAATGTAGAAGTATGTTTACAAACTCTACAGAGTATTGGGACGAATGTTCATAATTCAGTTTCTCATTATGAGAAGCTCTTTTTCTCAATTCAAGAATCACAGCCCTGTTTCATCTTTGAAATAAAGGTTAAAATTCATTTGCCTTCAGTTCTATTATACTAGTAATCAGATGCACTCTGTGCCATTCATTGTAGTTTTTTTTAATATTTTATTATTTTTATGTTTATGAATGTATTGCCTGCATGTATGTGAGTGCACCCATGTTGTGCAATGCCATGGAGATCAGAAGAGGGCGTCGGATTCCCCTGGAACTGGAGTTAAGAACGGTTTGTAGCCACCATGTGGGTGCTGGGAATCGAATCTAGGTCCTCTGCAAGAGCAGTCAGTGCTCT